CCCCCCCCCCCCCCCCCCCCGCCCAGAGTGCATTTGATTTGTGTGATTTGGTGTGTTGTGCAGGTGTTGAAGTTCGGTTCCTATATTGTGGACTCGCTGGTGGACTTCAGGCAGCCGTGCTTCGTGTACATCCCGCCCAAGGCGGAGCTCCGCGGGGGCGCCTGGGTGGTGGTGGACCCCCGTATCAACGCCGAGTACATGGAGGTCGGACAACACACACACATACACACACACACACAGAGAGAGAGAGAGAGAGTGTGTGTCTCTCTCTCTGTGTGTGTGCAGATGTATGCCGACAGTGAGTGTCGCGGCGGCGTGCTGGAGCCCACCGGGACGGTGGAGATCAAATTCAGGGACAAGGCCATGGTGGAGACGGCCACACGGCTGGACCCCACGCTCGCCACTCTCGCCGCTGAGGTGCGATTTCACCCCTCTGTGTGTGTTTATGTGTGCTGTCAGCCATCGGCTCGCTATCTGTGTGGTTTGTATGGGGTGTTAGGATAAGGAGCTCTCCGCACAGGGGATCCCCATCGACTCGCCGCAGCGTCAGGAGATCAAGGAGAAAAAGGAGAAACGACTCCAGGAGATATTGCCAGTCTACAAGCAGGTCCTGCCTCCCTCCCCCTCCCTCCCTCTCTCATTGTGTGTCTCTGTGTGTGTGTGTGTGTGTGTCAGGTCGCCTTGCATTTCGCCGACCTGCACGACACCGCCGTGCGCATGAAGCGTCGCGGGGCGGTGCACGAGGTGGTGACCTGGAGCAAGTCGAGGACCTACTTCTACTGGCGCCTCAGGAGGCAGCTGCTGCTCTTCAACCTCAGGAGCGAGGTTAGTAAGGTTTCTCCCCCCCTCTCTCTCTGCGTGTGTGGATGGATGGATGGATGGATGTGTGTGTGTGTCAGTTGGTCAAGACCAACCCGAGCATCTCAATCCGCGACGCCCAGTCGATGATCATCAAGTGGGCCGAGGCCGGCGGCGTCGGCTCGTCCGGACGCACTGCTGGAGGTGGGCCTGCACAGCACCCCGACAGAGAGATGGACATGTGTGGGGGGTGTGTGTGTGTGAGCAGGTGGTGTGGACCAGAATTATCAGTTTGTGCAGTGGGCGTGCAACTCGATCCGCGAGATCTCGAGCAGGCTGCACCTGGAGAGGCAGAAGTACATCGCCGAGAAGACCTCCGAGTTCTGCAGGGTGTGCAAGGATCCCCAAGCAACCACACACATACACACACTCACACACACGGACCACCGCCCCATGGCTGCGTGTGTGTGTGTGTGTAGGAGAGCATTGGCGCGGTGGTTGAGGGCCTCAAGGCAGCCGACCCCCAACGAGCCAGATACCTAGAAGGTCCCTGGCCAACCACCGCCACTCCCCACGCCCCCATCTCTCTCTCTCTCTCTCTCTGTGTGTGTGTGTGTGTGTGCGTGTGTGTGTGTAGGTGCTTTGTCGACTGTGAGTGCGGGCCGTCCCCTGCCGGACAGTGCTGCGTCCATCACGGCCCTGCAGCACATCACCAACGTCCCTGCTGGCGGGCAGAGGAGCGCCGAGGACTCGGTCGCCGCCACACCGGAGAGGGCATCCACCTCGGAAACACTGGTCAGTGCGTTCATTCGTCGAGCTCACACCTATAAAGTACTGACTGTGCATCTCTCTCTCTGAGTGTGTGTGTGGTTGTAGGGCGCTGCTGCTGCTGGGGGTGCGTCAGCTGCTGCCCCTGCCACTGCCAGTGGGGTCGCTGCGACGGCGGACAACGTCAAGGGCGCCAAGGAGAGTCCCCCCACCGCCGCCCCGCCGGCCGGGGCCGAGCACCACCCCACCAAGAAGAACGGCAAATAGAGGTCGGGTGGGGGGGGAGGGGGCGTGAGTCTGACTCTGAGATTTTGTTTGCGTCAACCGACTGCCTGATTGCCTCAGGCGACTGGTTTAAGCAGTGAGCCTTGCGAGTTGTGAGTTGTGAATTGTCGTGAGGGTTAGAGAGAGGTGAATTTCATGATGAGAGCGATGTGAGGCGCGATGGGGAACACACAGGCAGGCCGGTATTTTTCTCTCCTCACTGCCGATCTCAGACAGACAGACAGACAGACTGGCAGTACTGCGTGCCGTGCCCAGTGCTGTGTGCCGTGGGCAGTGTGGTGATGTGGTTGGGGGGACTCAACTCACTCATCTATCTCAGGCCATGATGTTTGTTTATTGTCAGGGGCGTGGCTGGCAGACAGACAGACAACTGACAGGCTGCCTGAGTGAGTGATTTTCTATTTCTTTGTGGGCCCCCACAGCCGCCACACCCACCCGGGGCTGTCTGTCTGTGTGTTCTGCTCCTAGCCTATACCGCCGGGGCCCCCCAAGCCAAGCTGAGCAGGCAGAGAGAGCGAGTGTGTGTGTGTGTGTGTTAATGGGGTTTAGTTGGCCTCTGTCAGTCAGTGTGTCTAATTCGGTCGGCGGAGTGCAATGTCCTCTGCAGACTGGAGACCGCCCCAATGATTGTGGCCAATTGAGAAGAGAGGAGTTTGTGTCAATCGACTAGGTGCTTCGTTCGTGTGCGTGAGTGTGGGTGCGGGTGCGTGCGAGGATGGGCAGGTCGAGGGGAATGTGCGTGTGAGTGAGTGAGACCTTGAGGGCCGCCGACAGGTGGGTGGGTGCGTTGAATTGGCTGGCTGCGATAAGCGATCTCATCATCTCCAGTCCGGTGCCTCGTCTACTGGCACACACACCACACACACAGCTCACACAGAAACACATCCCACGACTAGCTACACACATATCACATCACGTCAGCCCCCATCAGTCAGTCGCCATCAGACACTTTATGCCCCCATCCCCCCTCCCTCACACACAGACCGCTCGCTGTGGCTACATATAATTCTCTCTCTTCGGTGTCGCCGGCGTGGCGTGGCGTGGCGTGGCGTGGCGGGCGTGACGTGAGCATGACCGTGGGCATCATTATTGCGGAAGAAGGTAGGTACTAAAAATCACGAAACTTCGCCAGCATAAGACGAGCCGAGACATGTCGCCCTCTCTCTTTTTCGCGATTCCCAGGACACACAAGACACATACAGACAGACAGGCAGACAGACAGACAGCAAAACCTCCAGCCGCCCCACCCCCACCCTCACAACACGCAGATCAAAACACACCTAGGTAGTATGTACCCCTCCCTCTCATCGCTTGTTCGCTGCATGGCAAAGCTGTCTCTCGGCTCTTCTCAGCGGAGCCACTGCTGGTCGCCACCCTCCCAGTTGTCACCGCCATCCTGCTGCTGCCAGTCGTCCTGCCACTGCTGCTGGTCGCCGCCCTGCGTGGCGACGGTGCTGTCGTTGCCCGTTGAGCACGCCTCTACCTGGGCTGTCACATTGGGGATCAAAGAACTGCGCAGACAGATGGACACAGACAGACATACACACACATGCATGGAGAGGGGGGGAGCAGGCTGAGACACCCACCCGAAGTATTCGCCGGATTTCTTGACGGTCCTGGGGAGAGCGGGGTCGTCGAAATCGACGTGGGTGAGGCCAAACCTGACACACACCCACACCCACACCCACAGACGCCCATCCCATGTGTTGTGTTGTGGGTTGTGTGTGTCTCTATCGTCTCCAAGAGTACCGTTCGGCGTATCCCTGGGACCACTCGAAGTTGTCCAGCAATGACCACGCAATGTACCCCTAAAAGACACACACACACACACACACATGGATGGATGGATGGATGTGTGTGTGTGTGTGCGTGTGTATCATTACCGTGACAGGCACGTCGTCTTCGATCATGGCTTTGGCCATCTCTGTCAGGTAATCCTGGTAGAACTTGACCCTGCCGTAGTCGTTGACAAGGGTCTCCTTGTCGGTGGACGCCCTGCCGTCCGACACGCCTGCATCACACGCCCACAAAGATACGGATCTCTCTTGTCTGTCTGTCTGTCTGTCTGTCTGTCTGTGTCGGTCGGAGCGATTCGCTCACGTACCATTCTCCGTGACGATGATAGAGGGCGGGTTCCAGACGTTCTTGATGTACTTGAGCATGGTGCTGAAGCCCCAAGGGACGATGTGCAGCCACTCGGAGGCCGTCTCCTCGCCGATCAGCTCCCCATTGCGGTGCACCGTCTCGTGCTGGCCGTACGGCTTGGTCGAGTCCACGTAGCTGCACAGACACACACCACACACGCACAAGGGGAAGGAATGGCCTGTGTTAACCTGTGCTGTGCTGTGGTATGGTGTGGGGTGGTGTGTGTGGGGTACATGGCGGTGTAGAAGTTGAGCCCGAAGAAGTCGCTCGAGCCCTTGATGGAAGCCTTTTCCTCCTCGGTGAACACGGGCGCGTCCGCGGCGAAATGCTCCTTCAGACTCTGGGGGTAGTCGCCGCTCCCGTACACCTGCACCAAGCATCACACAGCTTCTTGTCTGTCTACTCGTCTGTCTGTGTGTGTGCGCGTCTGTCTCTGTGCTCACGGGTTCCGCGAACCAGCCGAGGACGAGGTCCATCTCCTTTGAGGAGAGGGCCACGTCGTCGGGGTTGGTGGGGTCGAGCGCCGCGCGCCAGTCGGCATTCAGGGTGATGCCCACCTTGACATCACACACACACACACACACAACGCATCCATCACATCACAATACACATTCTGTGTCGATCGGCACCTTGGTGTCGGGGCGGGAGGCCTGGTACTTGGTCTTCCACACCGAGTAGGCCTACATGCCGACCCACCACACAACTCTGGATGTCCTCCTTTCTGTCTGTCTGTCTGTCTGTCCAGTGGATGGACGCGTCGATATACCTTGGCGTGTGCCTTGAGGGCATTATGGCCGCAGGTCAAGAAATCAGTCTCCGACACGACGCCAGGGGCATCTGACGGGCAGAAGAGAGAGAGATTCGTCGGTTGGTGCTTTTCTTGTTGGGTTGGTAGTTAAGCTTACAGACGCCCCACTGGTATCCCAGCTTGCAGAAGACCCACGGCTCGTTGAGCTGCATCCACAGACATATCATATGTGTCTGTCTGCCGGTGTGGTGTGGTTGTCTCTCGTCGTTGTGCGGATCACTCAATCACTTACCGTCAGCCAGTACTTGACGTCGGGGAGCGCCTCAAACATAATGTCGGCATACTGACCGAACGGCTCCACCAGGCTCTCGTTGCGCCAGTCGTATATGCTGCAGCCAGGCGTGTGTCGTGAAACACGCAACACACAGACATATCAGCCGATCTCGCTGCCGGCCCTTCATCCACTCACTCAGGCAAGTCCCAGTGGAAGAGGGTCACAACGGGCTCGATGTTGTTCTTGAGCAGCTCGGCCGTCAGGTCCTTATAGAACTGAATACCTGCAAACCAAACCACAAGCTGGGCTGTGTGTTCTTCTGTCTGTCTGGCTCTGCCCGACCGACTGACCTTCTTCGTTCCTTTGTAGGCCGTTCATGACCCGCGGCCATGAGATGGAGTAGCGGAAGTGGGTGAAGTTGAGCTGCTTCATCATCTGGATGTCCTCAGGGTACTGACGACCGATGTACAGGCGCACACACCACACACACGTAGACTCACTCTGTCTGTCCAGCCCCGACCACCTACATACCCACCTTATGGTAAAAGTCGACGGCGACATCGCCCTGCAGACCAGGCAACACACACCCAGGTGCAGGCACTGTTTCCCAGCTGGCCGTGTTTGTCGCTCGTGTCCTTCCTCACCGTGTCGTTGCTGGCCTTGCCCTCGTGGGCGAAGTTATCCCACAGGCTCGGCACACGGCCTCCCTCGTTCCAAGCTCCCTCCACCTGCACACACAGCACAGCCACAAACCCAACAGCACACACACACACACAGAGCGAATGAGCAGCAGCCAACGGGTGGCTGTAAAAGGGCGGGCGGTTTTCGTGCCTGATAAGCGGCGGTTGCGGTGCCCCAGATGAAGTCCTTATCGCCGAGGACGCCATCCGCCTTGGCTTTGGAGATTGCTTGTGTCAACAAGCCCTGCACAGACGAGTCGTCGCCCGAGGGGCACTGGGCGAGGGCGCAGCCCAGAAGCAAACAGCTCACGGCTATCACGCGGAGAGCGCTGAGCGTCATCTTGTCTAGGCGTATATAGAAAAAAACGAAGACGGGACGGCCCAACGGCAGAGTGTTTACTGTGACGTCCCATTGTTTCTGTCATGCAAGCGGCGCTCCTAAAATTTATAAATCCTCTTGTGCAGGTAGTTGGTGGGGGCTGAACAACAAAGCCAACACCGATGAAGGGAACTCCATTCGTTCAATAGCGACCTTAAACCCAAACCCTGCTAAGTGTACCCTAGACCCTAGACCCTGGGGATTCAGTTCTCACCTTCCTCCCCTCCCCGCCAACGCATCACGGCCGCAGACATTTATCCGTTTGCCTGTGAGGAGAAGCGACCGCCAGTCACTGGATCTGCTACATCTCGCCAGTCCACCGACCTGCTCTCTCTCCTCTCCATATCATCTCGTCTAGCGCTGCAGCGCTCCCTCCTTGCTCCTCTTCGTCTGTCCCCGTGCAACTGCCACATCCACCCAGCTTATCCATCTGCGTCATCTCGGACAGTGAGGGGAGAAGAAATGGCGATGCGGCGCCTCCTTCATGTGGTGGCGGTGCTTCTGATCACGCTGATGCTCCTGTCAGCCATCCCCACTCTCGTCGAAGCGGAGAACCGCCGTCTGAAGGGGGGAGGGGGCGGCGGAGGTGGCGGTGGAGGTGGTGGTGGTGGAGGTGGAGGGTTTGGAGCAGGCTTCGGGTCTAGTGGTCGCCTGAGCGGCACCGCTGCCATGAGTGTTTCCATTATCTGCGGGATCATCGGCGGTGTCGGCCTGATCTTTCTCATCATCTGGGGTGTCAAGATGCTCATGCCCAGTCGTCTCGCATACACCCGGAGGAGGCGCATCAAGCCCACACTGACCGCCACGCCCCCTCCGTCAGGCGTGTGGGTGGGCACCTACCAGGAGGACGGCGACAGCTGGACGACCAAGTACATGCTCACATTCGAGTACGACGGCACTGTTTCCGGCGGGGGAACCGACGCCGACGGAGCATTCAAGATCAAGGGCTTCTACAACGCGACTACCGGGATGGTGTCTTGGGGCGAGAAGGGCATCAAGAGCAAGCTTCATGTGGACGTCACCGGCCGCTTCCCTAAGTCCCGTCACATCGACGTACCGACGAGACGATTGTACGATGTCATCGACTGGGAGTCCATCAGCGCCAAATACATGGCCAATACCGGCAAGAGCAACAGCATGACGATCCGCTTCCAAGAGGCTGTGCCTTCCCTGGCCCCAAAGACCAAGCCGCCAACCGTCAGGACCACGACGGCTGCCGCCCGCCTAGCGGCCAACTCAGAGAACGTGGCGGAGATGGAGCCAGTCACGACCGACCAGGAGACCGCGACCAATGGCGAATCGGACACGATTGCGTCCTCTTCGTAGGGAGGGTAGGACAAGCTGCTTGTGCTGAACAACCAGCCGGTGACTTGGAACGACATGCCTGTGGTGGTTTTGACCTGTCTTTGCGTTGCGTTCAGTCGTGTGCTGTACGTCTTTCTGGTTCTCTGTCTGTGTGTGTGCCTGCCCGCCTGCCATTCTTCTCCTGACGGGCATCGCGTGGCGTGCAATGTGGCCTTTTATGTGGTGTGGCGTCATCTGATGGAGTCGACATGAATGGCTCAAAGGTGTAGGGTGCGTAGGTATGTCCATTCGTGCGAGTCGGCAATATTGCCGACAGCCAGAGCAATCCGCTCCCGTGTGTCTGTGTGCTATGCGTCATGTGTGTGTGATGTCGTTCACGATGCTTCTTTGCTGTCAATGCTCCCACTTTCATGTGTGTGCGAAGGGGATGGAGACATTTGAGCTGACAGATATGCCTTTATGTGTGTCTCATTGAATCAATCCATCACCTATGTCAGCGACAGGAGCATACGTGACTCGTCTATGGCACTCGAGCCCCCACATAGACACGAGGGCAACTAAACCGATCATCAAAACCCCTCCCGCACCCACCCCCTAGCCCTCTGCCCTGCCAGCCCAGTGGATGGCCTCTGGTCTGTGCAGCAGAAAGCACTTTTCCACCGCCACGTTGTCCTCATTCGGGAAGGACCCTCTCAGCCCACTGACGAATGTCAACAAATCGATCACCCCCTGGTGCACCAGCCGACGGCCGCTGGTGTTGAGCTGATCGTGGATGAACGACAAGACGGGCGCCACACTCGCCCCGGCCCCATCTGACCAGGCGATGCACTCCACGCCGTCGGGTCCGGCCCCGACATGGGCCACCACCGACGTCGGTGTGACGAAGGGGAGGTCGCGGTCGCCTCCCTCGAGATCGCCGGGGTGGTCGACGGGGCTGTTCGGCCACTGCTGGGGGCTGATCAGGCTCGTCATGACAATGTCGAGGGTTGCGCCGGCGACTGGGTCCCTTTGGAAACCCCTGAGCAGGGACACGACGCACGGAGGGCCATCGTCGCCCTCAGGGAGCACCCAAACCCACGGATCAAATGCCTCCGTACAATCTGGAACTGGTGGCCTTTCAAGCTGCGCAGCGTATGTGGGAGTGAGGGGTCGGGCCTGGTTGGCGAGGAACCGCAGCACAGTCAGACAGACACCATTCGGCGGGGGCGGAAGCGGGCTGCGGAATGAGAAGCTGAGTCCGATGCGGATGGACTGACGGCAGGTAAAATCGCGAAGCAGCACATCGGTGCCGTATCGGTTGCACGTAGCAGCCGTGTAGCTCCAGAATAACAACGTGCCACCATCCTCGGAGCCGTAGTCCACGAAACGCGGCGGCCGTCCGACACCTGCCTGTCGAATGCCCATCTCCTCTCCCTCCTGAGCGATGATGATGCGCCGCACGTTGGGACCAAAACGAGGCTGCAGCCACTCGTGCTGATGATTCTTCAGGTCGTCAGGGTCACCCGTCTTGAGCCCGTGGACCAGGCGGGGCACAGACGCCCGCAGCAGCTCCACGTCAGCATCGGTGACGCGGATCGGCAGCGTCACCTCACGGGCACCAGACAGCACGCTCAGATAGTCAGGCCAGTCGTCCCACCTGCCGCCGTCACGCACCAGGCACATGGCAACGAAGAGGACATTGGCCTCGCGACGCACGTCGAAGACGATGAATGCGCGGAGAGCCGCCGGGTGCCTCTCATCAATCCATCTCTGGAAGAACGCGGCATTGACCAGGTGTCGATGAAAATCGTGCCTGTTGATGAGCCGAAGTGGGCCGCTCTCTTTGATGGCCTCAATGGCGAAACCGAGGATCTCGGTGCCAACGGGCTGGCTGGCAATGGCCGTCAGCCGAGGCCGAGGCGCCACGAGCGGGAGAGAGTCAGACATCAGATCTGCATTGGCAAGGCAGTGCATGCACTTGAGAGGTATGTGAAAGACATCTCTGTTGACGCACCTGTGGACCAGAACGCGTGGTTCGTTGCTATTCAAGGAGCGAGCTTCGACTACAAGCACAGTCTACAAGCTCGCGGCGGAGGGGGGACGAACCGCAACACAGCAGCCGCAGAAGCAGCGAAGCGTGCGCATCTTCTTCATCGGCTGCTGTGCATCTGGGGGGGGAGTACTATAATCAGTGTCTCAGTGCAAATGCACAAAGAGTCCATCAGCATGCATACAATAACTAGACCAAGTGTCCCTGCTATTCGATTACTGCAAACAAGCCATGACCGGACCCCTGTCCGACCCAATACCCCACTGCCCTTCATCCATCCCACACGTGTAGGGTGCACATTGGTAATGCCCCGGAAAGAGTACCCGCCAGCGCACAAGGCGCGAAGATTACTCGACGGCGCACTCAAAGGACGGGATAATCAGCTACAGAAAAGCTGCACTCGGCTTATACCGCTTCAGTGTCGGAGTCCGAGTTGAGGAGGGAGGCGTGCCTCTCGTGCGTCTGTGACGGTGAAGAGCGGAGATGATGGGCATGATGGACGACGGCCTGGTGATGTGGACGTGCTGACGACGATGGGCTGGGAGATGTATGTTACTCTTTCCCCTTCCCTCTACCTTCCTGCCTTATTACGTTGGGACGGGCACGACAAGGAGCAGTTCGAGATAGCAGCGGGTGACCAGCGCGTCAGGACTAGAGAAGCAGAGACGAGAAGAGGAGTGGAGAAGATGAGAGATGCAGAAACGAGAAGAGGAGCGTGCCTATCCTTCCACGACATGATGGCTGACTATGTTTGTGCACCACAGTGAATGAATGGGATGGGAGAGGTTGTGCGTTGGTGTTGGGAAGGTAGTCAGAGGGCATCTATCTGGGGAATAACGTGTGTCTGATTTTCCTGTCGCCCAGCATGGACTCACTATCTCTCTCGTCTTTGCTTGCTTGCTGTGTGCGTGACTGCAACTGGGCCTGACGTTTTTGCTGTGGCTCGCCCAGTGGGCAAGAAGCATCCGATCGGGGTGCGTTACTATCCGTTGTTCTCTGTTCGCTTCCAAGCTATGTAGCTTAACACACTGAAGCAAGGCCAGTCAGTGAGGTTGGTTGGGAGAGATTCCCTTCCGTAGAAGCGCTCACCGCGCCCATTGGCTTTACTCACTGATGCGCTGACTCTGACTGCCTCGTGAATGATGGTTGGGAGCGTGCTTGAGATCGGAAGAGCCACCTCGAGATCTGCTGGAACACACGCAACGTGACGGCAATGACATCTTGACGTGTCCAAGCAGAACCGCATCGGAATCAGCGACAGAGAAGAAAAAAACCGCATTGCATGCGGTAACAGACCTTGTGTGCTCTCCCTCTGTAGGCTTTTATGTTTGAACCCTGGATTGGACGGGCGACGGAGTTCATCTAAGCATCAGTCCGTACCAAGCAAACAAAAGGGAGCACAACCATGCAAAGCCAATGAACAACGCTCATTGACTGCAAACAAATGCATGTCGCACACTGCAAACAAGCGTGAGACATGCATCACGATAGACACACAAGACACACACACAACATCCAGGTCCAGCCAGCCACCTCACAGCCCCGAAGCGGGGCTGGTGTGTGGCCTATACAGCCCGCGGCTGACGAAGTCCTCGGGAAACGCGCTGGCCCTCCGTGGCCCTCTGGCGGCCGCAGCGCGTTGTGCTCGACTCGCCACTTGGAACGCGTTGTGCTTCATCAGCTCGACGGACAGGAGCTGGCTCCAATGGTTGATGACGCTCTCCCGGAAAGCTTAATTCGTCCTTCGTCCATTCGTTTTTCTTTCACCGGCATTGCCAGCGTTCCTCTGCACTCTCATGCGATCACTCACGTGGGCGCAGCGAGAGGTCCAGGCTATCGTCACTGAGCCAACCAAGACATCCGTCGTCCTTCTCGAGCCGGCCTCCTTCCCTCACGAGTCGTCATTCCTCGCATCCCTGACCAAGATCTGGTGCAAAATCTACCTGTTCTCTTGCGACCAGCATGAGCGACAACGTCAGGTTCAGCCTGAGCGATGTCGTCAACTTCTGAGGGGAGGTTCTGCTGAGTCCCGCTCTCAACACGTCTCGATAGCCCTCGCTTAGGGACAGCTATCGTCCATACACAGCAGCCCCTCGAACCCCCTCTGTTGGCCAACACATGCCACATTCTGTTTTTCGAGTCACTTGCCCATCCAGTTTGTGGGATCCATTGGCGATGCCCGCCGGGGGAGAGGGAGGCGGTACGAGGCGGGTCGGTCCATTGATGGCAGCGGGGGGACGTGTCTCCGATGGATTCCCGAGGCCGTCTGACGGGCCCGCAGCATGGCTATCATCTCTCGCGACTTCCATACAGGCGCACGGCCACTCACCACATCGGCACCAGTCGCCTGCAACCTCCGCACCCGCTGCGGGGTCACTCTCATCCAGCGGTAGTAGTTTTATTCTTCTTTAAGTAGGTACATGAACGGGCGACGAAGTTCGTCTAAGCATCAATCGTACCAAGCAAGGAAAAGGGAACAATACATGCAAAGAACAATGGCCAAACGCTCGTTGACTGCGAAAACATGTCGCACACTGCAAACAAGCGCGAGACATGCAGCACGACACACACAATCACGAAATCCAGGTCCAGCCAGCCACCTCACAGCCCCGGAGCGGGGCTGGTGTGTGGCCTGTAAGGCCCGCGGCTGACGAAGTCCTCCGGAAACGCGCTGGCCCTCCGTGGCCCTCTGGCGGCCGCCGCGCGCTGTGCACGACTCGCCACTTGAAACGCGTTGTGCTTCATCAGCTCGACGGACAGGAGCTGGCTCCAATGGTTGACGATGCTCTCTCGAAAAGCTGTGTCCTCCTCCGTGGGAATGGATGTGGGGCGAGGCTTTCGCTTGGCGAGCATCTTGAGAAAGTCCATGGTCTTCTCTCCCCATCTGCCGAATGTCTCCGCAGCGAGAGGCACGAAGCGGAAGCCGGCTGCTTGGATGGTTGGTCCATACTTGTCGATCTTGTCTTTCTCCACAAGCTGAGCCGCCTTGCCACCAGGAAGCTGTGCGCCACGCCGGTTGACTGTCCGGTGGAAGGGAATGGGGGAGTTGTCAGGGCGGCAGGGGTGGGCGACGGTGACGTCGAGCAAGTAGTCGCTGCCGTCGATCACGCAGTAGATGTCCATGCGCTGGTTGTTGGGGTTGTCGTCAGGCGGGGTGATGCCGAGGCTGTGCAGAGACACCTCCACATTGGAAGGAACATCTGCCTCAGCCAGGATGCGAACAAACAAATTGCGCATGTTGTTGTGTCTCGTGACCCGCTCACGGCCGGTGTGACACACGTAGAAGTGATCGTTAAACTTGTCAACCTCCCCACCGCAGATGCATCGCTGCGAAACGGTTGCGTGCGGGAGGGCAATGCCGAGACACCCGGCGACGGCATGGCGATACTGGAAGTTGTTCAGTGTCTTGCTATCGCTAGAGGGGATTGCTGACAGCCAACCAGACGAAAGAGGCCCTTGGCAGCTCAGAAGCCGGGCGCGGGCTCTGCTGTCAGGGGGGAGGGAGTTGAAGAGCTCGTTGAAGTGGAACTTGTGCAGTTGATCGGTCAGGCGCTGCTGTAGCCGAACCTGCGGCCTCGAGATAAGGTCCTGGAGGGAGGGGAGGGAGAAGGAGGGGCCGACCACTTCAGAGATGGCAGCGAGGGCGGGGACTGCAGCTTGAAGCCAGGGCAAATCCAGAAGAGCAGCGGGCCCACCTTGAGGCATCCATGGTGCTTCTCGGAACCGGCTAGAGACATCAGATGCCGTCACACCGATCGAGCCCAGAAAAGCCGCACGGGCAATCGTGGATGCAGAGACAAGGCCAAATCCTCCCAGCCGGATGGGTAGCTGCACCTGCGCGGAGACCGAGTCGGGGAAGTCGCCGGGAAAGCGGAACATGCGCCTGAATGCCGTGATAATGGCGGCGTCATGTCGCTCGGCGGCTGCCAGGGAGACATCGGATTCTCGGGGAAGGAGGCGCAGCCAATAGTTCAGCCGGGGGGATGCACAATAGCGGAGAAGAAGGCCTGAGCCCTGCAGTCCCTTCTGAGCAAAAGTCACGATTGCGTCGAGCAGCGGCTGATGGCTGCTGGTGATCTTCTCGAGGCTGTGCTGGATGAAAGATTTGCCGCCAAGCGGGCAGCCGAGAACAGTGATGCCCTCAGTAGAGCACTTGACGCCGGAAGCAGCGATGTCCGCCGAGATGTCGGAGTCTTGTTGCCAGCGGGGCTTCATGCAGCACTCTTGTCTCTCCGCAGCCTCAACTTCTTCTCGGCCAGAAGCTGCTCGGCTCTGTCCACATACCTCGTAACACGTGTCTCGTCCAATCCGCCATCGATGTCGTCCATGAACGCACTGATGAAGTCGTCGGGGAACTCCCCTTGCAGTTTGACGAGAGCGGGGTGGAGGCCCAAGCAGAAGAGGAAAGGGCCCGCCGCGTCGCCTTGCTGGGTACCCTCCTGAGTGAGGATGGTCTCAATGCGTCCGTCTTCCATGCGATACCATAGCTCAGCCGGGGAGCCGTAGAACTGCCAGAAGAAATCGACAAGGGACGGCCACTTTGTGCCGAGCTCGTCGAGGATCGCCTGACCGTCGCTGCTGTTAAAGGCGTTCTTGCAGTCCAAAGTCACCAAAACCCGTTTATCGGAATCATCGTGGCGTGTCTCCATGTAGGTCTGACAGGCCTGGAAAATCTTTTCTCCGCCTGCCGACGTACCGACCGCAAACTGTAGGGGCGAGAAGTCCTCCTCAAAGGCAAGCTTGTTCTCCATACAAACTGCCTTCGTCACCCATCGCCGAAGCACATCACCCACAGCAATCAGCCGGACACCACCGTTGTCTTTCATCAGGGCGAAAAGGCGGGCGGCCGAAAGAGTCGTGGTGCAGCTGTCCGGCATGTTCCCAGCGAGCATCCGGCCGACAAAGGAGGGTAGAGGGACAGTCGAATCTTCTGCCGAGGCGTCACCCTCTCCCATGCAGGCACGAAGGTGCTCATACCGCCATCCCGTAGGGCCGGCCGCGGAACCTCGCGGCGCCGTCTTGAGGGCAGCCAGTAGAACTCTGGGCGGGACCGTGAGAGGGAGGGGCGGTCCATCTGGGCCGTTCTGGGGCTGCGGCTTTGTGGGAAGCGGTGCCGCAGGGTGTAGATCTTTGAGCTGCTGGAGTGTCGCCGCCGTCGCTGGAGCGACCTTGGCAGCCGTCAGCCGTCTTGCTGCACGCGACAGCTCTCCCTGTCTCACAAATCTCTCTGCCGCTCGCAGCTTGATCTCCTCCGGGGATGGCTCAGACACGCCTTCCACTGGTCCATCGCCACGTGGAGCAAATACGTGGCGACCCCGTTCAGCAAAATTCCTGGACTCGTCGAGTAATCCTTGCCACTCTCCAGCCCAGAACCGCTTGAAGCGAGTACCCCACTTGCGGCGGCCGCCCGTACCGCCGCGACTCATCGGGAAGAGAAGCATAGTGGGCAAGAAGATAGCTATCAGGCAGCCGACATCCGAGTCCTCCTCGTCCTTCACGTACTTCTCGGTGGTATCCACCACCATCTTCAGCGACTCCCGGATACACTGAGGCATGCGGGATATGGTGCGAACGCCCAGCTTGAAGTGGTCATCCCGTTGCTCGGCGGTGAGGCTGCGGAGGTAATCAAGCCCACGCTGCGGGAAAATTCCTCTCGAGCGAAACCAGTGGGAATCGTGGGGCGGGTCAGGTGGCGGATCTGGGGGAGGGGGAGGCCCTCCTCCGTTTGGGGGCGGCCCACTGCCGCCCGAGTCACCGTCTCCTGCCCCGCCATCTCCCGGGTCACCGGGTGGCGGGCCGGGTGGCGGCGGGGGTACAAATCCGCCTCCACCTCGAGCACCTCGGGCGCCTCGTGAGGCTCCACGTGCTCCTCTCCCGCGACCCCTCCCCCGAGCTCGGCGCGCCGGCGGTGCGGGCTGCGAAGCACCACCTTCACCATCCCCGCCTCGACCCGTCGTGTCTCGGGCATCCGGGGGCGGATCGACTGTGTCTCGGGCGGTCGAAGGCGATGGCGGTGGCGGTGGCGGTGGGGGAGGGGGTGGTGGGGGTGGTGGGGGTGGCGGAGGGGGTACACCTCTTAGATTGCGTTTGTTTGTTGGGCGGACTGATTCATGGATGATTCGGACACACAGACAATGGTTGAGGTCAATGCAAGTCTCTCTCTCTCTCTCTCTCTCTCTCTCTATGTGGGGTACACATCGGTGATGCCGCGAATGGAGTGACCGTCAGCGCACGAGACGCAGAGTTCAAACGACGGCGCATCCGAAGGGCGAGATAGTCGGCACGTGTCGGTAGCTGGGCCGAGAGATGGGCTCTTGGGTGTGTTGGGTGGAGGAGAGTGGTCGGTCACGTGACGCTCGGCAGTGATGGGTGCAGCAGTGATGCCCCGAATGGAGTGGCCGTCGGCGCACGAAACGCGAAGTTCAAACGACGGCGCACCCGAAGGGCGGGATAGTCGGCATGTGTCGGTAGGTGGGCCGAGAGATGGGCTCTTGGGTGTGTTGGGCGGATGGGAGTGGTCGTTCACGTGACGCTCGGCAGCGGTGGGTGCACGGTGATGCCCAGGGCAGTTGGTGCACGGGCGTAGTCAGGTGGCTTGGCGCAGTCGAACAGAGGCAGGCGGCGCATAGAAGCAGCAAAACAACGCTCGTGGAGCTCGCTGGGGCTGATTCCTGTTGCATGCGCAACTCAGGTTCAGCGCGGCTGCACGATCACGAGAAGAGTAGTGTTGAAGTTGCTGTGTGCCGAACACACATCGTGGTCAGAAGGATCAGACGGAGCCCTCGAATCTCGCCTTAATTTCGCCCTCATGCCAACAGCATCACACAGAGGTCCACGTCAGAGTCCACATCATCAAGAGCAAGGCAAAGAATAGACAGAGTCCGGGCTACATACAACCGGGAAAACCCCTGCTGGTGACGGGCACGCTATCGTCTCCCAGCGCCAGGGTGAAAACGGCAGGCACATCTCCCTCCGCATCAGCAGCACTGCTCTACTCGTACGCTACTGTGCGGCGACAGGCACGTCCTCTCTCATCAGTGGCTCACCAGCAAAGAACTGCGTAAGCAGAGGCAGCGAAGGGCGAGGAAGAACAGGAAAGAAGAGCCAGCAGCATCGCAGGGCGTTGGGCAACGGTCACACAGAACAATGCACACAAAGCTCGCCAACTCAACAAGTAGAACAGGCACAGGTGCATACATTCATCACGAATCTTGCTCCCCTCCCCCCGCATGAGGACAGCGTGACGACGGCACCTCACCTTTCCGCAACTCCCACGTCCTCCAGCAGCCAAGACGACCAGAGCCACACCCCAGTGACGGCCGAACAGCAGGCACGCACATACACACAGCGGGCACGCGGGTTGGCTGGGTGTGCATTTTTGCTCGCCCGTTCGTTCTGTGTGCATGTGTCGCTGCTGGGTTAACCATCAACTTGCAGATGAGAGATGCCGACGAGGGGCCGCGAAATCATGAGCATGAAAATGAGGTTGCTCGGGAGCGGCAACGTCAAGACCGTCCAGAGCGGCGATTCATGCGATTTGCTATGGTGATTTTCAGGGAAGGGGCTTGTGCGTGTCCGTTGGTTGGCTGCGCCCCGCCGCTTCACTCCCTGTCGCGGGGAGTGGCGCGGAGCTCGCGTTGCCTGCTTTCGGACACCCTCGTCATTCCCCTAGTGTTGCGTTCGTGCTTGAGGCGGAGTGGTTCTTCTGCGTGGGTCACTAGAGAGAGGGCGGGATTCATATATACGCTCAGTGTGATGCGCACGTCACCGGGGTCTGTCGGCCGCAGTGTCACCTCACACCGCCTGCCTGCCGGGTGACGTGCGTGCCGAAGTATTTGTTGTTTAAGTAAAGACACAAAGGGGCGACGAAGTTCGTCTCAACCAAAGACACTAGCGTTCCAATCAATAGGCCATTGCAAGCCACGCGGAAGAAGGCAAAACATCGAGAACACACACGCGAGACACACACATACCCCCCCCCCCCCCC